TGGTTTAGATAAAAATTAACAAAAAACTCAGTAAGTGAAGAGGTAAGGCCTAATGAGATACTTTTTGAGTTATAGCCCATTTCTTGCTGTTCATATTCTCACCAGTGAAGTGGTCCAGAGTACTCTGGTTCTAGCAACACCTGGTTTCCTGCTCCACAGTATCATAGAATCATTGAATCACAGAATGGCTTGTGTTGGAAGGAATCTTAAAGATCATCTAGTTCCATGCTTTGCATGGACAGGTACACTGTCCACTAGACCAGGTTGCTCAAAGCTCCATCCAACCTGGCCTTGAACACTTCCAGGGATGGGGCAGCCACAGCTTCTCTGGGCAACCTAGTCCAGTGTCTCACCACCTTTGCAGTGAAGAATTTCTTCCATATGTCTAACCTAAACCTATCCTTTTCCAGTTTTAAGCCATTGTCCGTTCTGCCATCACTCCATGCTCTTGTATAAAGTCACTCTCCAGCTTTCCTGTAGGTCTCCTTCAGGTACTGCAAGGTTCCCCTATAAGTTCTCCTTGGAGACTTGATTCTCCAGGCTGAACAAGCTGAACTTTCTCAGCCTGTCTTCATAGGAGAGGTGCTCCAGCCCTCTGATTATCTTCATGGCCCTAATAAGGTAAGAGCTCCAGGCGATGAGTTGCTTATTTTTCTAGACATTAGGAAGAGATACCCAAGTGAACTGTCTGCTTTCCCAAAGCACATTGCAAAGTCTCTATATGCTCCACTTCCGAAGGTGAGGCCAGTTTCCTTGCTACTTCAAACTTTACATAGGTGTCACATACAGTTTTTCTTCAGACCTGGGAATCTTGCCTTAGCTATAGCTTGATTACTGTTGACATCCTGCAGGCAGGTGACAGCTCCATCTGGAAGTGCCAGACATGCTCCAGTGCAGAGGTCACAGTTTTCCAGCACACTGGTGATACTGTAGCAGATACATGGGGTTTCTCACCTTTGCTTTAGGCACGTAGGTGGGATTCAGCTTTCCTAATATATGTATCTAAAGTTAGGGATCTTATCCCTTTGAAGTCAATGGAGAGAGATGGTAATGCTCTTTAGTATAACTAATCTCTCCTTGCTGACAATAGAGAAACCCTAGATGACTAGCTTAAACTAATTGCTCAACTTCAAAGGTAGGATTTAACCATATAAAACAGTAAAATGTTATCAGATTAAAGAGTAGCTTTTCACACCTAGAAAAAAAACACATGTGATTTGAGCCTAAATAACTGCACAGAACAGCAGATAGCTGAGACTCAGACTGCCAGTCCCTCTTGAGATATGATATATTTTAAATGTTTGTGCAACTCACAATAATACACTGGTTTACACAGCTTTTAATCTTCTATATTATTGTTACACTGCTCTGGAGTTTATTGGGTTTTCCCATTTTAAAGATGGAGATGTGAGCAAGAGGTTAATTGGCTTGCATAAGATCTCACACGGCGACATGTGGTGAAATGGGAAAATGAATCAAGGCTTTCTATTCCTCTCATGATTGCACTCATGAGTTTTGGGCTGTTGTCCTGCACACTTGTCCACAACGTTTTCTGTCATAAAATGTAGTTCATTGCTTGGCTGGTAGTATTGCTTTAGTGTAGCAAAATGCCATTGTATTTAGGGCTTCTGAATATTTTTAAAGAATAATCTGAGGCAGAAGCAGAGAGGAGAAGGTATATTTTTAATTGGTATAAATTACTTATTGTTACTGGTTTGCCACAGAAATTTTGATAATTTTGACTCTGCAAATGATTGGTATCCCTGTGGCCATTGAAGGATTCACAACACCACAGAATTCATTTAGCAAACTCATAGGCCATACATAGAAGGCTTGGGTTTATGTTAAACACAGGACAATGAAACTATTAAACTTCCACTTAATGTAATTTGTGCAGAACATTCCGCAATATATACATGCCAGTTATGAATCTACAATCAATTTTCATGCTAAATTTAATTTAAACTCCACAGCTGGACTTTCCTCTTGAAAGATGCCAGATAGCCCCGTGCATCTGGTTTAATCTCCCCTTCAGCCATATTATTTTAAAGGCACTCCTGCTTAGTACATCTTACAATTGAAAAATAATACTCATATTCCCTCTTATCCTCAGCAGCTGTGATCCCTCTGCAGATGTTGTTCTGTCAGACATTTCATTATGTGTGATAGAAAGCGTAGGTTCTTTTTGTCTGACTGTGTTACTGCTTTGTGGATTTTATTTTCTTTTTTCTTTATTTATTCCTTTGGCCGTAGATGAGTGCTTCCATAACACTTCACTTTATGTCCTGTTGCTGCTGCTTTGCCTTCTTTCTAAGCAGAGAAATGATCAAGAACTTGCAACTGCGTTGAGCCGCCCAACAGAAGCCCATTGATTTCCCTCCAAAGGACTCTGTGTGAGCCATTCTACTCCAGCTTGAAAAGAAGGCTTTGTTCCCTCAGCTGGTAGTGTCTTAAGATGCTGATCCTTGCCATATTTTTGGAAAACTGTGGCAGTTTGTCAGACTGTTTGACACTTCCCGTTCAGCTGTATATTCTGTAACATACTCTGGCATTTGCCTCTTCTCATGCATCAAGTCTCACGAGGGTGAGGCTGGTCTGGAGCAGCCCAGGCGCCACAGTGAGTAATGCCACACAAAAGTCATTTGGAGGCAAACAGTGAAGGAGGAGGAATCTGGAGTGCTGGTGGCCATGCCTGAAATGGTAGTAATGGATTTAGTATTTGGGGCAGGAGGTATGGGATTTGTCATGTTGGCTGAGTATTTTTTCCTGGCCGCCTTCCATGACTGCTCAGATATTTTTAGCATGGAGTACAAGCTATGTTGTCTTGGTTGACCTTGGAGCATGACATTTCAACATGGAATTGGTTTGAATAGCTAATCATTAAAATGATTTATTATTTTTTATTACAAGTGCAACTAGAGTCCCAGCAGATCAAAAGGGAAGCAAATTGAAACCTGTCTTCTCTTGACTTGCAGTCCGTCATGATAGCCATGTCTCCTAAACCACTGTATTCAGGTCTTTCTCCCAACATCACTAAAAGTAGATTATGCCTGGGTTTGTTTTTAAACTTGTCTTTTTGTCATGTGACAAATACTGTATCAGGATGACTAAAAGTAATCCCAAGGTTTCACAGTGCTCAACAAGAAGTGTAGAACAAAAGGATCATTTCTTTTGCAAACAATGTATGACCTTAATAGAAGTTTACAGCTGCTATCAGAAAGGCAAGATCTTGCTATCAATATATTTATACTAGTGATTTCTCCCTCTTTGCCTTCATTCCCAGCCTCAGGTTTACCCTAAATGACAACTTATGTTAAGGAACTAGAAGCAGCAGCACTGCATCAGGATATTGTAGCAGTATATTTTAAGGCAGTAATATATAATGTAGGAAAAGAGTCAGACCAACCACAGACATAACCAGAAGTCTATGAAAATTTGAATTCAAGTTTTGAGGTCCAGAGTTATTTGTATCTCAGTGTATTTGGCTCCTAGTGGCCTTTTTGACTAGTGTTGATTTTAGACACTTTGTGTTTATTGAGTTTTGCATGTTGTTATGTTAACAGGCCCTCAGAGGAAATGACAATTATTTGTAAGATGCATTTTACTGCCACAGTGGTGCAGAGAAGCCTTTGACTGAAAAAAGCGTTAAGGTCCTGTTGACTTTTTCAGTCTCCTGAATAAGCACCTACTCGAGTATCTGATGTAGATTAAAAAAAAACCAAACAAGCCAAAACAAACAAATAAACAAAAGGTGGTGCAGAGAAGCCTTTGACTGAAAAAAGCGTTAAGGTCCTGTTGACTTTTTCAGTCTCCTGAATAAGCACCTACTCGAGTATCTGATGTAGATTAAAAAAAAACCAAACAAGCCAAAAAAAACAAACAAACAAACAAAAGAAAAAAAAAAAACCAACAAAAACCAAACCCAAAACCAACAAAAAAACAGTGATCCTCCTGCCTCAAGAGTAGCTGCATAGTTTAAAGATTTACTCAGTAGAAGATAAATCCGAGATATGAAAAAAAACCCTCTCTTTGACTACCTTGGCAACTGGGAAGTCCACAACCTCTTTCTACAAATTACACAGCGGATCTCCTAAGTCAGGCCAAAGAGGCTGTTTCCCTGGAATCAGTGTCCCTCTATAGCTCCTTTCACACACAGGGAAGTGAGTGAATCATTGAATAATGCAACACCCTTTCCAGTCTGCGAGAGCTCTGCCAAAGCCAAGCATAAGGGTCTGGGTTAAAGCAAACTCGGTCACTTGGTATCCAAGTTGTGTTTTTGGAGGGGTTAAAACTGGACAGATTTTGAATTTGTGTTTTGGAGGGGTTAAAATTGCCAAGAAAAACGGAAGACTTGAAGAAGATCCCCAGGTGCTTGCATTAATACTCCCCAGTCTCTCTGATGTGAGCTGGCAGGTCCCATAAAGCCACTCAGCCTTGAACAGGGAAGGGAAGAAGGGAGAGAGTAGGACCTCCAGCTGCGACTCCAGAGCCCCAGAAAGAGCCTCTAACCCAAATGCCTGGAAGTGCACAAGCCTCACGAGCCACAGCATCTCTTTGCCACTGTATTCACTGAGTTCGCAGGGCAAACAAAAGACGCATATCAAGTACGCATCCTTCCAGAGGGAGAAAACCCTCCCTCCTTCACCCATAGATTCCATCCCCCTTTTTTTTTTTCAGCTATATATATATATATTTATTTTCCTTTTTTTTATTTATTTATTTTTTTTTTTAGGGGGGAGGTGAGCAGGATGTTGCTATTTTTTTTTTTTTGGATGCTAATTAAGAGAGCTCACACCAGCTAGACTAAAGTGAACGCAAACAAGACCCCTATAGGCAGCACAGTGCATTAATGTAAAATATGCCCAGACAACATAACTTGTCAGAGAGGATTATTTCTGCTTAGTGAATCTGCAGGGGCCCCTTTGCTCCACCACTCAGCGTCTGACTAGAGAGAGAAAGAGAGAAAGAGTAGCCATTAGTGAGTAGCTACTGTGGCATTGATGTTTGAGCGCACTTCTGAACTGGCTTTTGTTGAGAATATCAGTGCAGAAAGCATGCGCTGTCCCAAATCTGCTGTTACTATGAGAAATGAGGAGCTGCTTTTAAGGTATGTTGTCTCCTTTGTTTTAACGCGTGCTTTCGAGTTGCCTGGGCCCTCTGCAACTATAACCGTGCTGTGTATTAAGTAGTTTCCCCTATTTAAAGGAAAAGACAGGCATTGCTGGGTGCAAGTAGCATTTTCCACTAGTTAGAATCGCTCATTTTGTATGTGATGACAAATGTACGGAGAGGGCAAGGAGGGGGGAAAAAATAAATATCTATCTCCTTCCTTTTTTCCCCCCCCTCTTAAATGAGAGCTGGTATTTCTTTATCACCTCCTTTGCAATATTTCTGCCTGCTTCATTATTATGCACTGAGCATGGAATAAGCATGGAAAAAGCTCAGGGAGACTCCATATTAGAGCTAGTGCCCTAAATACCACTTTAATTTTCACTTAGCCTATGCAAATAGTTACCAATGCTCTACCTAGTCTTCCCCACTTGAAAATGTTTTAAAAATATCTAAATACTCCTGGATGTGGGATTACACATATATATTCTTAGTGTTCCAAGGTTTAGTGGGGGGCCAGCATCGACTACTCTTTTCAGACACACACAGGCACACACGCAGACACACGCACACTCGCGCACACAGAGACACAGAATTCTGCTGGAATTGGCCCCCCGCTTTGAAAAATGTAGTCTTTTGTTTATTTGCTAGCAGACATTGTAGCATTGAATACATCTTTTGGTCTGACAATGGGACAGCTGAACAATGGTGCTGTCAAACTAGCTTAATGTATGTCTGGCGATGGGGTGGGTTGGGTTGTGGTTTTGTTGTATTTTTTTTTTCACTCCTTTTCTCAGCCCCTTTTGCATTTCCCTTCATCTTTTTGTATATACGGTAGAAACAAAGTGTATTGCCTGTTTTGTGGTGGTAGTTTCATTTGATATTTGCTGCCGATAGTGCGGGGAGGGGGAGGTTTGCATCTTACAATTATGCCCATTGCATTAAGTTGGAGATTTATTACTAACCTCGCCTTTAACTGTGGTGAGAAAACTTCCTGATTCTGAAAGCTCACAATACTGCTGTCAGTCTGGCAAATACAGTTGCCAAATGTGCCCTTGCCTGTTTTTATGCCTGATCGCATCAACTTTAACTGCTGTTTTGAAGATACTGTTTCTGATTTTGTTTAGGTAATAAAAATGCAATAAAAATGATAAATCAGATCTCAAAGTGGGAGCCCATGCTACTTTCCTTTTTTATAATCCAGCTATTAGCATGTGTTAGAATTTTTAAGGTCAGGCAGAATAATTTACCTGGATGATTCCTATCCCAAAATCTAACAAATTATTCACATGACATTTTGTGAATTATCTTTCTGTTTAGACAGCCATAGTTTAGCATGAGAACAGTTAAAAATTTTGGGTTTGAATTCGGCAAAATGCTCATGTACCTTATGCATTATTAAAAGAAATTGTTATAAAGCTTCTGAAAAAATGTTGAGTTACTACTTGGACAGCAGCTTGTGTCTTTAATAGTATGAATTGTAATCAATATGTGGAGTTTCTGAAACTGTTTAAAGTCTTTAAATACTTTACATGTTAAGTAAACATACTACTTTTAGTGATAACCACACTCAATTTTCTGAGAGAAAAGAGAGAGATATATCAGCGGTTTGTATTTTTTATTTAGATAAATTAATTGTAAGGGTTTTGGCTTTTTTCTTAAACTTGGATTCTAGTGCATGATTTATATGGCTTGAGGGGTCCCTTGGACCCCTTAATCAAGAAAAAAAAAAAAAAAGGGCATTAAAGATTTATTGGTAACAGTCAGAGCTCTCTAAAGCATGTAGTTTCAACCAAAAAAAAATGTTTTATGGGAAACCTCTGTGTACTTGCTAGGATTTTTTTACACGTTTAAAATTGTTGCATTTCCTTCGCTTCTGTGTCGAGATGGTGTAAATCAACAGGAAAGATATGATGTGAACAAAAAGGCAATATTGCATAAAACACACAAGAAAACTAGAGGTTATGCATTCTTAGATAGTTCTTGTGTGCTGTGTGTTGTGCATAAACATGAAGAAAGCAAGGATGGTGTTTAATATAATGGGACCATGCTGTAATTCACTTTCTTGGGAGAACTTCTTTTGAGAGAAACATTAACTCGTTCCCAACTGATCTGCTCTGCCAGAACTGGAGGGGGGGTATTTTTTTAATCAAGTTCTCCTCCTTCAGCCCGGGCTTTGGAGCAGCTGCTGCCCTTTGTCAGTGGCAATAAAGTGAATCCCTCAGTCTGTGTTGCTTGGAAATGCCCTTGTAGTGATTGCCCAGAGTAGGGTGAATGCCACTTTTGTAGCAGACACCACCAGACATCTGGGCAGCATCCCCAGCTGCCACTTTTAAGGACTATTCAATACTAAAACTGTTTCCTAAGCGCTCTTCTCACAGGTGAGTTCATACTAAACTTACAGTAGTTCCTATGTTTTCAGATAAAATGCTGTATGAAATACATATACTACGGCTTTTTGTCTTGGATTGACAATTACCTTGTTCTTTTCTCAGGGTATTTTCTGACATTGCATTCACATCAAAGACTAATTTTTGAATTATTCTGTGTGAACCCTACTAAAAAAAAAATAATTCTTTCTATGCATATTTGCTGAAATACTGCTTTTTTGAGCCATAACAATTACTATTAACATCAAAGAAGGTGAAGCAAATCTGTAACACAAGCCATTTCTTCGCATGCTTTAACAAAAGTGTCAGCTTTGGAGAGACTATATGGGTTTAGAGCTATTGTGCATGAGCATCGTAGGTGTCCTTAGTGTTACCTGTTTTGAATTTCACCCATTCACAAAGCAATGTGGTGCCTTGCAGTTGTCAAACTTGGCAACATCTGTTTCCACAACAGCACTAAGAGAGCTCATTCAAACTCTGCATGAGTTGTTATTTGTTCTTGCAATGACCAGGTGTAATGCCAAAAAGAATGAACCTCCTCGGTCCTACCTGTGAGAGCGGGAGCAGGATAAGTCTTAACCTGGGAGCTGACTTTCCATGCTGCCATAGGAAATGGAACTGAATTATATTAATTTATTTATTAGCTTGGAGTCTTTGTCTAGATTTTTTTTCTTTTTTTCAGATTCATGAACCACAATCTCTAACATCAACATGTTAATATTCTCTTTGTTAAATGAGAATAAAACTGAAGTGTTTCTGTTATCAAATTTAAGTATATAAGATTGCAAACTATACCTTTGGGGCTGAAAAACAAAGGAGAGCATTCAATTAATATTCATATCTAGAAGTTTTACTGCAAGTGTAGATTGTGCTTGAATACTTAAGAAGTCATTCAGGAGTGAATCAATACTAATTATTGTAATCAGGAGGGTTAATTAGCTGAAGATGCTGCTGATGGAAAGTTCACTGCTTACAGCCCTGAAAACACCTAAGTTGATGAATTCTGAAAGCAAGATGTCTAAGAGGACTTTGTATGGAGAGAAAAACTTGGCTTTCCTTTGGCATTTCAAGAGCCAGTTGTTCCAAAGGGAAAACATAGCTTTTGCTTTGTTTTTTTTTGCTTGATATTAATTCAGGGGGTATTAGAAGATGCAACTAAATCTGTCTTGAAGATATTTTGTGATAGTTTCTCATTAAATGCAAGTACCATTTTGGATAACCTGTACTGTCTCTGCAGCATTCATTTGTAGATTACCATAAATTAATATGGATAATCTTATGCATTTGAAATCTTGTTCCAGTTCTGTTATTGGGAACAGTTTTGTTTTTTTTTTATTTACCATTGGCGTGCAGGCACAGGGTCCTTACGTGGTATATGTACATAATTTGCACATGCTGTGTATCTAAGATAGAGGTATAGATCTGTGTGCATATGTACACACATACACATGTGCACGTATGTTTAAACATGTTTTCATTGATGGGTGTTTATTTCTATAGTTCTGTGCCCTGAAAACTCCCACACAGTTTCCGTCTGCAAGGAAAAGTATTCAACTACATATAATTCAGAGCACAGTTATTGAACAAGTAGTTCATGAAATTTAAGTTAGATGTTAAGGAATAAAGACAGAAAAGAATTGACTGAAGAAAATCCTTTTCTTTTCCCTTAATTAGAGCCTTTGTGTTCCTAAAAGTGAGCATTACTGAATTCAAGCAAAATCTAGCTATACAAAATCTTTCTTACAAGTGAATTGCTAGATTTTTCTTTATCACTGGGTGTTTTGAGTTGTTTTTTTCCCTAGTTACATCTATTAAGGTTATAACCAAGACAAATGTCTGGATGTTTATTTGAGAAAAAAAAATACCACAGACAAACACAAAAAAGCCCTCAGTCCCACACACACACTCACATAACCCCCCCGAAGTCAAGTGATGCTTTCAGAGGAAAAAAATCCTGTTTCAAAACACATCCTTCTTTCCTCTCTAATGACATTAGAGATTATCACGTGCAGGTGCTATTTATCTTTGCAACTGCTTTCCTATGACTGTTTTACTGCTTCCAACACATTTACTTGTATGTCAGCCATAGAAAAGGTAACTGAAAATGGCAGCTGTTGAGAAAGCATGTCGCCATGCCTGGAATGACATGCATTATCAGGGCAGCAGGAGTTGCTGGCTCTACAGCCCATTTCTACTTGACCTGGCGAATGATTGGCTGCCTGGGATGGGGATGAATCACTGGAGTTTATGAAACAGGACTGCTGGCATCCTCACAGAGGAAATAAAAAACAGATATTTTTTATTAATTTTTTTCCCCCTCCAACACTCTTGCAGTGGCAAAAACCTTTTTTTGTTTGTTTTGTTTTGCTTTTGTGTTATTTTCACCCTGCAGTGAAAGCAAATATGTCAATTAAAGTCACTTTAATACCGCTCCTAGCAAGTTAATGGTGCACTGAAGGTTAACTATATTGGATAGAAGGAAGCAGAAATTTTCCAAAATTTGGAGTAAATCCTGATCTGAACCCTAATTTCCCCATCTCTCACTTCAGTCTTGAGACTGGGATAGCATAGCTATTAACCAGCTCAAGCAGGACGTAAAAAAGAATTT